TTTGGAAATTTCTCAGCATCAGTGAGTGGAATGGGTTATCCTGTTTTAGAGTTGAAGGAGGTTGTTTTGAATCATTTAGATCATTATGTGTCTGTTATGGCTTGTGTTTAGAGCCCTCCTCCCCGAAGCCTCATGTGCGTGGGGTGGGACTTTCTTTTTCAGAGGTGCCTGAATCTGGACTGTGTGATGCTGGGGTTAAGGGAATGCAATTACTAAACCACTACATGTGAGTAGTTAGTTTGGCACCACCCTAATCCCAGTGGTCTGAATAAGATAAAAGGGGCAGAAAGATGCTGTGAGCTCTCTTTTTCCCTTCTCTGCCTTGTATGTGCCATGTTGTTTCTACTCTGCCAGGCCTGTTTGTCATTCATGCCTTGGAGTCAGCTGATATGGACTGAAACCTCTATGAACTGTGACCCAAATAAATCCCTTTCCCTCCAACCATGGGGTGTCAGGTATTTTGTCTCATCGACAAGAGAAAAGTAACTGGCAATAGGACTAATCTCTTTTAAGATACACTACAGGATGAATTCTATTAGGTAACTTTAAAGGGAAATGTGGCCTTTATTATAACATTATTTCCATCAAATCAATAACATAGCAAAAAGAATGAGATTCTGAAAATAGATCCAAAATTTCAAGTTAAAGTAATAAAAAAATAAACAGAACCAGTTTTTCAGCTTTCCGGTACTATAAGAAATATCTAAATAACCAATGTATAAAAAAGGAAAGGCTTATTTTGATCCACAGTTTTGGACATTGCAGCCCACAGTCTGTTGATTCCTAGCTCTGGCTTCGTGACAAGCCAACGTATCACGCAGGAGCAGGTGTGGAGCAGAATCTCTCACTTGAAAATGTGGACACAAAGGAGTGGAAGAGGAGGGGCTGAAGTACTACTGTCACCTTTGTGGCACGTCCCAGTGACTGAAGTCTTCCACCTAGGCCCGGCCTCTTAGTTTTCACCTCTTTCTAGTAGCACCATGGGCTGAGAACAAAGACTTTAACCCATCACCCTACAAAGGACATTGCAGATCAAAAAAAAAAAAAGGCAAATACATTATGGTTACCTAATGTCACCATATTGCACGATAGCATGCCAGAACGTCTTCCTCATTGCTAAACACAGAGCAGTATCAATCAACCCCCACCTCACATGCCTAATTATTCCCTCTGGTAACCACCAATCTGTTCTCAACTTCTATGAACTCATTTTTTTTATATTCTACATATGAATGAGGTCATGTAATACTTATCTTTCTGTGCCTGGCTTTTTTCATTGAGCAAAATGACTTCCAGTTTTATCCATGCTGCCAAAAATGACAAAAGAGAAATGCTAGAAGAAAAGGCTGAATAGTTTCATCATAAAGAAATGTGTTTGAGGAGATAAGTTTTCCCTGATTTCAATGTTATACATTCTATGCACATTATCGAATATCACAATGGCACAAATTTTATGTATCATTTCATGATAAAAATAGAAAAAAAAAAAGCCGGGCGTGGTGGTGCATGACTGTAATCCCACCACTCGGAAGGTTGAGGCAGGAGGATCACTGTGAGTTTAAGATCAGTCTGGGCTACATAGTTCTAGGTCAGTCTCAACTACATAGTGAAACCCTGTCTCAAAAAAGAAAAGAAAAAAAGATGTAAAACTGTATGTACTTAAAATTGTAAAATTATGTATAGTTAGATAAAATTAATTTTAGACTATATAAATTAACATAATTTCAATATATATTAAATTTCTTTTAAGATACATATATTATATGCAGGTATGCTTTTAAAGGGTCTATCAGATGGTGGATTTGAAGCCTTTCATCTTCCTGCCTCAGCTTCCTGAGTGGCCGGGATTGCAGATGTACACCATCATTCTTAGCTAGGGCATAATTTTAAAATTATTCTTTCAAAGAGGAAGTTCTAGGTAGGTGATTGTCAAGCACGTTTAGGCAATTGTCAAGCATTTTTAATAAAGTATTGAAGAGTGAACATTTCAGGATTTGCAAAGTGCATAGCCTTTTTTTTATCTTTTTGCAAATACTAATTTTGTTGTAGCACAGAAGCAATCACAGAGCATACATATGCGATGAACATAATTTCTTTAAGGACACTGACATTTAGAAGTCATATAATATTCATGTGCCATAACATATTACTTTATGCTTTGAACCATTCAAAAATCTAAACATCACCCTTAGCTTGACAGCTATAAAAGCAGTGTGATTAGCACACTTGGCTCACAGCCAGTAGATTCCAACTTTACCTGCACCTGAGGCTCCAGGATCACCAGGGTAGATGGGGCAGGTCTCAGGGCTGAGGGTAATGAGTTACTATTGGTAGCCAGAATCATCACACGCAGAAGCAGAAGACCTCAATTTAGGTGCATCAGCCCTGCTGACGGTGAGGCTCCTCTGGTAGCTCTTTGCACCGAGGAATTGCTATGAATTGAGATTTCTGCCTGACTTGAAAATCCTTTCCCTTTGACCTCCTGCATCCAGTACATTTTAGTTAAGATGCCATTTTAGTTAAAGTCTATGCCTTTATTTCTGTTGGTAAGGGGGGCATTAACCTTTTTAGAATCTATTTCTTATTATCAATAATGCTGATTATAATCGCAGACTATTCCTGGTTCTTAATGAAAAGAATGCTACACCAATATCAGAAGGTCTGGTATCCAATTCTGTATAATACTAACCACCTTCATACTTGCAAAAATAACACATTTCTGGACATCAGCTTACTTATTTGTAAAAGGATTTTAAAAAAATTAGTTCATCTTAGGACAGAATACTGAGGTTCCTTTGGGGAAAATGGTATATACACTAAACATACTGTGATTATTTTTATCCCACTGCCCCACCTGGTTAAAAGGAGGATTTTGAAGATCTGCTATACCTGTATCGGTGAATGAGAATTCTTTTTGTCATAAATAGCACTTTACTGAAAAACCCTAAGGTAGAAAATACATTTTCCACAGATATGTCAAAAGTAGGGGGAAAGCAGATTAAACATTAAATTCAAAGACGCATTGCTGAGTTTTATGATAACATGCATTCAGAATAAATTAGTACAATCCTTTTTCTTATGCTTGTTTTTCTGGAAGTACCCAGAGGCTAGTTATCTAAAGGGCCTCTAGTTTATACCCTATTTCCTTGGGAAAAGGAAGGAAGAAAGGAAGGAAGAAAGGAAGGAAGGAAGGAAGGAAGGAAGGAAGGAAGGAAAAAGAAAGAAAGAAAGAAAGAAAGAAAGAAAGAAAGAAAGAAAGAAAGAAAGAAAGAAAGAAAGAAAAAGAAAGAAAGAAAGGAAAACAACACATTTTTGTAAATCTGTGAATTAAGACAGAACCTGCAGATGGTGCTATGATCCCTTTTTGCAATGGTTTTGCTGTCTTTTTTAAACTCTTAAAAAAGGAATGGAGTTGTTTAATTCAGTTTATTTTGTTCAGAGGTAAGAAAATTGAATTATTTCTCTTTACTTTTGTGTTTATTAGAATGGAGAAATTCTTCATTTTGGAAAAATCTATAATGGTTACTCTTCTTGAATGCTTAGGCCAAATAATCAGGTTTTATGCCTTTTTCTTCTGCTTATCATTCAGTATTTATTTGACTGTAATCCTTAATCAATTTACTTTGCTGTTTCTGGCCTTAAATAAAATTGCTTCACTGAGAATTGGGTGACGAAGAGCTGAGGATAAAAAAATTCCATATGAGAACAATTTCAACCTCTAGTTTATAATAATCAGTTAAAAAAAGATTTCCTGGAATTAAGTCACAGGAACTCTGGCTTAAGTCAGAGCTGTCAACTGGGAAACAAATTTCCAGACATTTTGAAATTTAATTCATTTAATTTTTCTTATAACTGGATTAGAAAATAAGATTAAGCATAGCAAGATATTCTTTTACTGGATCTGTCTGTCTTTGAATGCATCAAATAGATATGAAAATCTCAAAGAAGAAAGAAAAGAGGCTTTAGAGTCACATTCCCTTAAGGAATGCAAGAGAATATACACATTAAATTTTTTAAATAAAATGAAAGTATATTATTTTGTTGTCCATGAAGTGTTTTGTGCTCTATTTTGATCTTCACCTTTAACTGAATGTGTGCTGTACTACTTTGATTTGGAAGCCCACAAAAGAAAGTAGCTATGAAAATACTCTATAAATGCTTTCAAACTAATTCTCTGAAATAATTTGTAAGATGATTGAGTCAGAAATGTCCAAAAACTGGTGTGAATATGTGTGTTGATAGTTAGGGAAGGAAACAAATATAATTCTACATAATTCAAGAAGTTTTACAATGGAAGAAAAATTCAATATCCTGAGATATACAGTATCATAATTTATTTTTGATCATTTGTACAGTGTATGTGAAAATACATTGAGAATTATAACATTTTATACAAAATGTGCAATAGTAATACTGCTTTCTATAATAGTGTGTCCATTGTACTATCTTAAGAGATTTGTTGAAATTTTTATCCCAAAACATAAAGTGTAATGACAGCAAAAAAAAAAATTATTACTGGCTACTTTTAAAATTAGAATAGATATCAAGGAAGACTAAATCAGGATCTACATGAATACCATAAAAATAAAAAGTCATTTGCAGATGACCTTTTTGTAATAAAGGACAATTATACATTCATAAACACAATTAACATAAGTATTTTTTACTTTTTGCACTTGTTTCTGCATAAAGTCCTTATTCTGTTTTGGGACTCTGTTGGTTCTGGCTAGAACGCTGTATTCATTCTCTTAATTCAGTGCAACTAATAAAAAATTAAGGCATTTTACATTAAGCTTCATCTTTTTTGCTTTAAAAAAGTAAATTTCCTCTTCTGTCTTACATCTTGAAGTTACTATAAATTTATATGCATCAGACATAATGACGATTTAATAAGAACTTCAAGCCCTGTTCATCCCATGGGAGTGTGACTGTGACGTCTTTCAGAGGGCTTTGTGATTGCTCAGCCCTAAGTGCGAGCCCTATAAAATGATGGGCTTTGAAATGCTGTTCAGGGTAGAGTGCAGAGCTACAGCTGGCGCTAACAGCTGAGCCTCAGCCAGTGCTAAGGGCAGAGAAGCGGTGAAGCCTCCCTGGCCTCCAGTACTTCAGCACCGAAGACAGCTCCAAAGCCCTCTGGAAGGCCAGGCTCCCGAGGGGAAGTGCACTACCTTTGAGGCAAGTGAAAACTTGACCTTTCTTCTTTCTTCTTGTTCTTGGAACTTTTTTCTAAGCTATATTGAATCTTTCTCTCTCTTGAAAAGAATCTTGCAATGTTTCTTCTTTGCAACAGTAAAAAGACAACTTTCTCAAATCACCTAGTAAGAGTAGAAATATCTCAATTTCTCTCCTACAGATAGATTTTCTGAATCCATTTATTTGGAAGATGCTTTTTCCTGTTTGCTTCTTTACTGAATACTTATTTTAAAAATAAACTAATGCATTTGAATAGGCTTGTTTGTTTGTGCACAAATTTTTGTCTGAAAAGTTCAGTTATTTCTGAAGTTTTCAAGTTATTTTTAAAGTGGTATTTTTATTTCCCATGTTGACAAGTGAACTTAGAAAGAATTTATTTTCCTCTTAATTTTAAATTTAAGTTCTGTGACTTAGCAGCAAGAGAAACAGATCTTGAATTGACTTTTCATTTAGAAACTACTGAAAGGAAATGTGTAAGTGGATCAGGTGCAATAAACAAGAATTTTCTTTTTTAAATTAATCTGTTTAAACTCGGGGTTGAGGAAATTAGTTCCCCTAAATCACCACAATAAAGAGATAGAAAAGAAATATATGTGCAAAATATTTTATGATGACAAGTATATAGGCATGTAGACACTATATTTGTATATATACACACAGAATATGCATGTGTGTATATAATTTATCAGAGCATAATTATTAAACATGTGACACCTCAATTTTATAGCAGTTGGATACAAAAAGTTTAAAGTAGAAGAAAGAATTTCTTAAAGTTGTTTCCTTTATCACAATAGATACTAAAACTAGATACTAAAAGTAGATTCTATTATAAAAATGTTTTTCTAGGGATTATTTGCAGCACAATAGCATGATATTTAACATACTTGGGCCAAGGAAGTACCTGGTGAGAAACAGACATCACACAAAAAGAGTATACTAACTTTTCGTCAAACACTTCTCACCAAGGGGAGCCTGCTTCATTTAAAAAATAATCATATTGCAGCTTAACTCTTTCTTGAAGATGGAAGTTACACTTTTCCTACTCTTCATGAACCTTCAGAAACACTGCTACACTCTCAGAGTTCCTTTGCTCACTGGTGTGACTGGAAAAGCTGATGTGATTGTCTGTCTGTAGAGGCTGAGAGATGGAAGCCAGAAGCAAGCCCCAGCTCCTTGTGGTCCTGACACTTTTTAGTGTGCTCTTCTCCCAGACACTGGCCTGGCCTCTTTTCGAACCACCTTCTACTCTGAGGTAAGTTTCTAAGATAAGTTCACTCTCAGTCAGACAACTGAACATTTCTTCTTTAAGAAGAAATTTCCCATGTTATTTTGGACATTGAAGTTTTTTTTTTCAGCTTTAATTGAGTTTATTGGTACATTTTAGAGATACAGTACAGTTACATTCATTGTTGGGATCCTGTACCTCTACATGACAAGTCTTGATTCTCATTTTTTCCCCTTACCTCTGCCCTCCCTTCACCCCCTCCTCCCCTCCGCATCTACACTTTATTTTCATCTTTTCATTCTCTCATATTTCATCTTTCATTCTTTTTTTCTTTTCCCTTTTTACTCTTCCCCTACCCATCCCACCTGAAGTTTTTTTTTTTTTAATTACTTTCCTTTAAATATTTTGATTGATGTGTTGAGCAAGTTATTTTCCAGCCTCAGCTGACTAGGGTAGTCTGTCTGAGAATTCACTCTTAGGGCATGAGAGACAACATCAGTGCTTAGTTGTACTTGTAGACCTTGTCAGTGAAGAAGGGGGATTTGGCTTTCATTCAAAACCAGAGTTAGGTAAGTATAAACCTTTATAAATTTTCATCTTATTTCAGTATAAGTTCTGGTGGAAAATGGTTGTTTAGTAGCCAACCTCATTTCATTTAATTTCAAAGATCAATCAGTGTGTAATTGTAAAATTAGTAGTTAATTAGCAAAACATGTATGAAATTAAATTGAACAAATATCTAGGCAGAATCACTCCACCAATATTAAAAATTGTGGAATAGCTCGTCTATTGAAATATAGCCTCCCATAATGTACTTGGGTCAAACCAAAAACCCTTAGTTTCACTGTCTGAAATGTAATAGTCCACATTTCATGTTTATAAAGCATACCACAAGCCATATTTAAAACTTTACTTGACATAAATTAAATTTATTTTAATTAGTGAACTGTAAAAAAAAACTGTATTAGCTTGATTTCTCTTTCCAGTGTATAGGTGCTATTATATCTGAAGGCAAAATGATTCCTTTTTGTTTATTTGCCCATTCTTGATTCTTTGCTCAGGTGTACTAATACTTAAGGCAATGAATAATCTCTCAGCTGTTAGTATTCTCTGTGAAATTTCTTCAAAGCCAAATCATGTCACTCTGACAACTAAAAAAGAATGGTTACCTGAATATTATATCACAACAGTTAAACACTCACAAGAATTCTCAAATTTGTACTGATTGCTACCCTTCAGACACACAGAGGACTACTTACTACTGATTACCAGCTACATCACCAACAGAAGTGCTCAGGATCTCACACTTTCTTGAAGGTTTGCCATAATTGTGAACACACACACACACACACACACACACAGTTAAAAATGTTCATGCATCCACAAATACATTCAAATCCCAAACACAGTCAAGGCATCCCTTAGTAAAATTGTGTTAATATATAAAGTCAGAAGCCATAGCCCTCAAATATTCATTGACCATGAAGGAAAATTCATAAATGAAGAGAGAGAGATTCTTCTGATTTGATCAATGCAGAGAAATATATCATTCCAAGGAAAGTCTTTGTAGCAATGCTTAGGGACTTAGACAAAAGCAGAAAACACTCAAATCTTGAGACATTTGAGAAAATTTACAATAAATATCATACATAAATTGCTTTCAGATTTTATATTTTGATGTTGAATATGACTTGTTTCTACTTTGTACAAATCTTTCTACCTATGGTACATGATATTGTAAAGTGAAGATATTCTTGATGTAGTTAAGTATGCCAAGGAATTTTATATTCCTTAATGTTCTGATAGGATGGAATTATGTGCTGCTTCTGTTTGCTATAGCTAACTTATAGAAGTTGTATAACTGCTATCTCATGGGATAATAATAAATTTACTATTTGTACTCTCATAAATCATATAGGCCATTAATTCAAGTTGTCCTATGCTTATATTATGAATGGTGATATCTTTTAAAGATTTTGAGCATCTTATTTCAAATGGTTGCCACCCATGAGCCCTACATTCTGAGTAAGGAATGTATTATTCTTCCAACACATTTTTCCCCAGTAGGATGGATGACAGAGTACCATTTGAAGAAGCAAATGAACCTGATCCAGTTTCATTAAATTTAGACTCTGACATCTTGCAAGATGCATTAGCTGAAAGTGACACACCCTATTATGAACTATCCAGGTGAGTTTAATTTATATTGTTTCATTTTATTTATTAAAATTATTCTAGAAATGTCCTAGTTTTATCTCATGATGAAGCTGCTACTGTATTGTAACACTACAGCTTTCCATGTGCCACGGTCTCATTCTACATGATTTAAAGTAGTTTTAGCAAGTGCACATGATTTTCATGCACACAAGTTATAGAAACTAGGGAGGATGGATGCCATTCACATAAATTCTCTTGCACACAATATCAATATTATGGATGGGGTCAATTTTGGTAAAACAGTTGCATTTCAGATGCACAGTGGTGGAGCTGCTGTGGAAAGAGCTTCATCTCTATGTTTAAAACAAAAAGGACTCCACAGAGCTGTTCATGTATAGAACTGCCCATCTGGAGTAACTTTTTACTATAGACCAAATAAATCCATGCTGAAGACAAAGAATAAAAAGTTTCTCACTTGCATGGAAAAGTTGGTGGTCCTAAAATCCTCTATCTGAAGAGATTTTTGTTTCTAGTATTCTGGTGAAAGAAATAGCCAAATGTAGTATGTTTGTAAATTTGCCAAAATCAATGGATTTTTTTTCCCATTGTGTGTATCTTTATTTAGGATAGCAGGAAAAAAGCAAAATAACATGTAGAAACTAATTGAAATTTATGATAATTGTGCACCAATATTTCTTACAATGAAATCTGTTTAAACATTTCCCAGCATAATAATGATGAAATATTAAGGGAATAATAATGTCAAACAAAATATACTTGTAAAACTGCTAATTTTCTAACTTTTTCAAAGCCTTGGGCTAGAGATAGAAAAAAAGTCTTGATAATAACGACTGGAAAATATCTTTTGTTAGGATGTAAAAAAGCTTCCTTTTGGACTTAAGCTTTATTGAGTAGCTCTCATTATAAACTGACACATCCCTGTTTTTCTTTTTTAATGAGTTAAATGATATTCCAGAAAACCATGTACAAAAGAGTAGCTATATTTTCTTACTTGTTTTAGAAATTCGAGACATGCTGATGGAATTTTCACCAATGACTTTAGTAAGCTGTTGGGTCACCTATCTGCCAAAAAATACCTTGAGTCTGTTATTGGAAAACGAGTTAGGTAAAGAGAATTTATAATTTTTATCAAACATGTCATTACTCAGTTGTAAGTTATATTTCACTGTTCCAAAGTTATCAACCTTGTTCAAAATTGACAACTCATTGATACCATTTGATTTAGCTATATAAAAAATGTATATTCTTGAATAAAACTTACAAGGTCCATGGGTTAAGGACATTTGCCTTTTTAGTAATGTATTCATTGACTTCATATTTATCCTAAGTACCAGTCATTTACAATTGTACACTCGAATTTGATAAGACTCAGTATGAAATGATTTGGAACATTGGCGCCTTTACCACTTCTTGTTAAACTTTTTGATTTCCTTTTCCTCGCACTTCTTAGCAGTAACGTTGCAGACCGCCCTGCCCTCACCAAACGTCACTCAGATGCAGTCTTCACCGACAACTACACCCGCCTTCGGAAACAGATGGCGGTGAAGAAGTACTTGAACTCCATTTTGAATGGGAAAAGGAGGTAAACAAACAAAAAACCAAAACAAAACAAAACAAAAAAAAGATAAAAAACAAACCTTTTTAAAATGAGAAATTGTAAATGACCTTCAAAATTGGGGCTATCTTATGGAGACTTACCTGTATTGATCTCACTACCTATGCCCTGAGAAGCAAGTCATTCCCCCCTTTGGCTGACTTGAACCCACCCTGGAGCATTTTTTAAATACTAATGTCTGGGCCTTACCTAGAACCAATTGCCAGGAATTGGAGCCTCTGCGGGTGCAGACCACACCACCATTTTTAAAATTGAGTTTTTATTTTAAAAGATCTCCCCAGTTGAAAATGATGGCTGCTCTGAATCTGGGAACAAGTTTCATCAAAAGTGTTGATTTTTAAAACCTGTAAAATAGAATTAGCAATTTAATAAGGCATGGAACCTCTTTTGTGTGGGGGTTGAACCGTCTCACTATAACAATATTAACCCTGAGGCATTTTGTGTACTAGAGTTCTGTAAGACCCATGTCTCTCCATGGTGTGTAAATATCGGGCCTGACACAAAGCAGGTGAAGCACTTTGTTTTATTCCACTTATTTTTGTGTACATGGTGAGTATTAAGCTTAGCTCAGTTTGACAGAGATCAGAAGACCTTACTATCCTTTCTCACTAATTATAAGTAATAAAGAATTTTAGCCACACCTAAGATGGAGGAACAATTCATACATAGTAACTGAGCTCAATGATGATTATTTAGTCTCCATGCATTTTGCAGAGCAAAGAGAACAGCACACTCTTTATGTCGTAATCCTTTCTTTGGAATCAAGAGCTTTAACATGAACAGTTTTCTCCTTCTGATCTTCTAACTTTCCTAAAGATCTAGAAAAATGATTTTAGAAAGCTCTTTAAAGTGAAACTGTTGACAAGTGGTGAGTATATTTGTGCGTTCTCAGTGTAGTCTTATAACCATTATCTAATTATATGTGTAGGGAAGAGTCACTGGACACAAAATATCTCATGGCTGAATAATTTCCCTTATCGTGAGACCTCACTTAAGGTCATCTCTTCCTTAAGTGGACCCCAGCCCAGTAAACAGCTGAAAGTGATTTATGCGATGTTCTGGTCACATAAAAGGGACTGCTGACAATGAGCACACAGTTGAACATCTGAGTGGCATGCCTAGTTTATTCTTCCTACCTTTATGGCAAGAGAAAGAGAGAGAGAGATAAAGAGACAGAGAGAGTCTGACTCACACTCATAAGAAAAAAATTGGCTTTGTTGCTGAGAATTAAACCATGCTGCTTTTATCAATTTAAGATTTAGTCTCACAATTGTCCACTAGCTCTTGATTTAATTTAGGTATAAGAAAATATCACCAAATTATAGTGTGGTTCATTATTATGGAAACACCAGGGCACTCTGAGTTCAGCTGTATTCTTTGAAACATAGCAAAGCTCATGGAGCAAAATTCAAATTTTGACCTGTAAAGTGAACATAGGCACTATACTCAATGTGGCAGCAAAACATATTTCTTCCCTAAATGAGATGTTTACATTGACTCATTCAAACCTTTATGATGGTTGGCAAGTGCTTAAAGAAATTTCATGTCATTACTATACCAAATGTCAGCAAATTTATCTCTAAAGGGCTTTGAAGAAAATGTGTTTTGGCTTTGTGGCCTGTCTCGTTTCTGGTACAACTATTTAACCCTGCTGTGTAGTATAGACACAGTCACGGATAATATGGAACATGAATATAAACATTTGTGGTTCAATAAAATTTTGTTTCAAAAAGCTAAAGTTGGGCAGGATTCTAATTCCTGACAAGGTCAAGGAAACTAAACTAGTCCCCATCAGGCCAACTGTCATTTACAGACTCACATCTGCTCCTGGTGTGATCATGTAAGGTTATCCAGAATGAAAAAAGTCTGAAAAACACTTGCCTGACTGGCTACTTTTGTTCCCTAATGAGAATACCCTTTTTAAGGAAGTACATAGTCAGGAGCTACCCACAGCAATGCCTTATCCTGTGTGGACGTTTCAGGGAAACAAGTCATTTGCTCAAAGATGAAAGCTAATCACATCTAGCTTCTTGAAAAACTCTAAGGTGAAGACTTCTCAATCAGATAAAAAATATGACAGACACTAAAGCGTAAAGACAGACTAAGCCCTCTATCTTGTGTAGATTGTAAGATCATATATAATCCCATCTTGTGTTCTTTATGGAAGAGTGGCTTTGGATAGATTCTCCAAACAGGAAATCCTGTGGATTACCCATTTGTGGAGAGTATAATATATAATTATTAATGATTAATTATAGCACCCTTCACATTTCAGTTTCTTTGTGACAATCAGTATTCTGGAAGATTCTGTCTTGATTTTGCCAGAATATAATTCCTTGCCACAGGCTGTTGACAAGCAAAAGAAGAAACGCATGTTTATTAAATGAGTGAATGAATGAATGATATTATAATCCTGTAAATAAAAACATTTTTCCTCATTGAGTTTATTGGTACATTTTAGGTAGACAGTACAGTTACATTTATCATTGGGATCTTGTACCTTTACATGACAGGTCTTGGTTTTCATTTTTTCCCCTTACCCCTGGCCTCCCTTTATCCCTCCTCCCTTTCCTATTTACAAAACTTTATTTCCAATTAAAGATATTTTTGGTTGAAGCACTAATTCTTTCTTTTTCAGTTCTTGAAGACAGATGAGAAAATACATTTTGAGTTCTACATAACTAATTCAAGAAAATAACTTCAATAGCAAAACCAAATAAAATATATTGTGTTGTGAACATTGTGATTTATTTTATCCTGATGTAACAACTGTGATGTTTACATTGTAAATATTATTAGAAAGTTCTAAAATTTGTCTTTAGCTTATGAAAGGTCTGTCATTTCAGATGCTGTATATTCTTTCTAACGCAAATACATTTAGTGATAAGTAGATGGTAAGTTAATTCCATTTTTATGAAGGTTTTTGGGAGAGTAACAATACAGGCACATTGATGGGTTTATTTAGAGTGTTCACTATTCAGAAGAGTAGAACAGATAAGTGGTTTGTCTACGTTTGAAAGTTAGATAGAATTTGAATGCAGATAGAGTGCTGTGTTAACTAAATCTCAGAATACCTATAAAAACATCAACAGCTATTATTTAAAAAAGACATTCTTCAAAACACATTTTCAGGATATTCTGTTTTCACCTGTATAGACTACTTTATTTCTAGTAGAATTTTAAAAATCTCTCAAATTTAGATTTCTATTCTCCAAAGGCTTTCTTCTGACTTAATGTCTTAGTTGAAAGGATTGACCTGCACTTATGACTGTAGACCTTTCCTTTCGTGCTTGTGTGAAGTATGTGCAAAATGTAAATGGAATAGAGCGCTTGTTTTTCAGGAATAAATATTTTTCCATAATCCTTCTGAGTAATATTTGGTCATATCAGCTTCCTTCAGTGAAAGTAGATTTGGAGACACAACTATTTTTCCAAAATGATTGTAAGAACTAAATATAGAAAATAAAGACCTTTGATTATTATTGCAAACAGTTTTCATTGTTGTGATTTTTTTATGTTATTCAACAGTAATTTGCTTTGGTTTTAAAGTTTCAGGCACTAAATGGTTTCTGTGATGTTTGAAGTAGGATTGCTTTTGAATACGTGTGAGTCCTAAAATAACAGTGACTTAAATAAGAGAGAAGTTTATTTCTCAAATAAAGACAGACATGAAATGTCCATGTTGTTGTGATGCTTCTGATGCCCAAAGTTGTGGGAAATTTAAACCCTTTTGAGTGAATTCATTTTCTGCTAGGAAAGGATATTTATCCTCATGGTGCAAATTCACAAGTAGGGTTCCAGCCATTCCATCTGCATTCCAGGCGGCTGGATGGAAAAAGGGGACATTATAAAAAGGCAGCAAAGGGTATACGCTGGTTGGTTTACACTTACATTCCCTTGACTGGAGCCAATCTGATGGCCATAGCCGTATGCAAGACAGGATAAGATATGTAGTCTTCCCCATTCTCCCCATGCACCAAATTTAAAACTGAAATTCTATTAATATAAAATAACAGAATAGATATGTGTTGGGATTTGGTTTTTGCAGTTCCTCAGTTCTCACCAAAACGACTTAAAGAATGACAAAAAGTTCGCGAAGAAGTATTCTCAACCAGGACCAGCTGTGCTCACTTTCATTAGCTACATTTAGAACTGGCCACACAAGGAGGGGCTGTTTTGGAAATCCAGGGTTCGCAAAGCAGTTTGTACAAGTTAACCTGAATGGAATGCATTGTGCTCTTGTCCTCATCTGATCCCACAAATTATTAGCTATTTACCGAGTGACCACGCTAGGGAAGGCACTGCAATAAAACTATTTGTAGATATTGTGTGTACGCTGATGTGCAGAGCTTGTACAGCTGAGATAGGGGCAGAGTGTGAGAGTGAAGCTGCAGAGTTTGAAGTGTATACGAATGTACATCTTTTCAATTCAACCACATTCCTTCAAAAAATATTTCTTAAGTGACTATGCTGTCTCAGAGTCTGTTCTGGGCAGAGGGACAGCTAGTGCAAATTAGGAAATAGTCCAATAAGGAAACTCCTGTGGCCGCTGTGGCATGCGCTAGACAGACTAAATAAGAGACGTAGTTAACGAGGTGAGCCAGAACTGGACCTTGTTGTCTCACAGGACGCAGGAAGGAAGAACCCTCATTACCTATACCTCTTAAAATTTCCATCTCCCAACAGAGTAATATCACTGATTTCAAGTCAAGAGGGAGAGCCCAAAGCACAACTCTGTGGAGCTCCCATCTAGTGATGGTTTTATTAACAAATGTCAATATCAAAGGAAATCATTCTTCATTCTTAAAAGATGTCACATCACACTATTTAGGCATATGATTGATAAGCACCTAAGCAAAAGCACTGTGGTGCTATTGTTACAGAACACGTTGGTCACTTTTAGTATGATCTTATCAAAGGAAATTCTTCACTTTTGTTATAATGATTATCCCTTACTATTTAAAACATACAAGCCTGTCATGGTGGCACATGCCTGTAATCCCAGCACTCGGGAGGCTGAGGCAGGAGGATCACTGTGAGTTCGAGACCAGCCTGGGCTACATAGTGAGTTCCGGGTCAGTCTCAACTACATAGTGAGACCCTGACTCAAAAAACAAAACAAAACAAAAAAACCCTAAAACATACTATGAAAAATACAAAATGACTTAAATTTTGACAATGTTTGAAAAATTCTCCTAATACTGATATATTTTTTCCCAAATATCAAAGACCAAAATTTATCAAGATTTTGGAAATACTATTAAAAAGAAAAACTGTGGAAAGATCTGATTATAGTGGCTCAACTAAAGGATTACACACACCGCTATTAACCTCTTATCCTTGCCAGAGAATGTTGAACACCTAGCTGCCCAACAGAATAAAAATAGGGGGTTATTCTCCATCGAAATGAAAAACAAAAGAAACCTTCCTTGCAAAAAGCTAGAGAGAATTGAAATCTGAGGCTAAGCTTCCATTTCTTCCCAGTTATACCTGCTCCCTCCCTGCTCTGCCTTCAAATACTTTATCCGCAGGCCCCCCCACCCCACCTCAAGCTTTCTGGAAGCTTCTTTTGCTTTGCTCCCCTTTTTTGCTCAATACTTTATCCAACAGAGCTTGATTTAACGATGGAAACATTATGATAGATATTGAAATAGAGGTGAACAACCAAAGATCTCCAGTCATTTGAGGAAAGATGTAGGGAAGAAAGCCCGGAGTTTTCTAAATGAATACAGATGAAAGATACTAGGAAATAAACAATAATGACTAAGGCATAATTAAAGAAAATAGCACATGTACAAAGCACAACATCTAGTACAGGGTACAGAAGAAAAGCTCTTGAACTTTAAAAACTGCCTGAACTGAAATAAAATTTAACAATACTGCACATGGAACTCAGTGGCAGAATATATAAGTAGCACGTGAAAGACCCTGGATTCATTCAGTCTCCAACATCCTCCAAAGTAAATCAAATAAGTAAGTAACAAATAAATAAATAAATTTACTTAAAATCAAATTGCCTTCAAAATTAGAAGTAAATCTGAGATGAAAATGAGTTAATTTTAATAGAAATCTTGTAACTAAGAAAAGTTTCAGAAAAAATAGAAAATGTAAAGAAATATCAAATATCAGAAAAGTCATTTTTAACTTCGTTAGAGTACTTTTCATGAAGTCTAGCTGCATGCCTATTTTATTCACGAGTCAATGCACATTGTACACAAGATTGACCATCTCTGAATATCTATCAGTTTGTTCAGTTTCTCAGCTTGGGACTACATTGTTTACTGAAGGACACTAAATTTTCTGGCTTTTTTTTTTTTTTTTTTTTTTTTTTTTTGGTACCGGGGATCGAACTTGGGTCCTTATGCTCGCAAGGCAGGCGGCGGAACCACTGAGCTAAATCCCCGGCCTTAAATTTTCTTTACTTTGGTAATGTTTCTGGACATCTTAACTATGTTTGTATTTACAATTCGGTGGGGTGGATTCTTCCCAATACTCAGCTTTTTAACCTCTCTGTAAGAATTACAGAATTTATCCATTCCGTTAAGGAAAATCTTTTCTGTTAAATTTTTCAGGTAAATGCAATGCAATGTACATTACTGTGAATACCACTACATACTACTCTGTCAATACTAAGACATGCAGTGTTTCTAGGCTTCAGAATAGAAACCCTACAGGATGGTACTAAGAATTCTATAATCATATCTATGAAATCCTATGAACGGTAGCGCTGCAAATTGGTAGACCTACATTCTAGCAAAGTATACGACAATTATTTGTTTGCCTATTGTAGTTAGTGTTCCAGTGTCAAAGAGTAGCCTATCTCAACTGGTAGCAACTTCCACCTTTTGAAAGGGGAGAGAAGGGAAGGACACACTAAAGGCCTCTGTCTTTTCACAATTCTCTAACAACTTTCTCTTTCCTCATTATTACAGAGAACATCTCCTTGGTCCTTCTCTTTTGCCTTCTGTAATTGCTAGCCTCTTGCAAGACACATCTCCTTTCATACTTTAACTCCTCTCATTTTTACCCCACACAATTGTGCTCTTTGCTTTTCTCTTCCTTGGAAACTCGCCCTGGTTTCATAATTTGGCTACTTTCTCCTTTGCTTTTCTGTTCTCTACAGTCATGTGTTCACACAGGCTCTTCACTTCTCTGTACCTCACCTGCCAGCTAACCTCATTTGTTCTAGTAGCAAAAGATGCAGACAGACCTTTCCTGATTTCTTTTTGTCTTTTAGATTTGTCTCTCCATTACATTAGGCCGTAAACACACATGCATAACACTTGAAACATATTTCCTAATTTGTATTTACTTTTCTGCCTCAAAGAATCTGAACTAAAAATTGCCATTTCCTGTAAGCTTATAATTTACTGCAAAAGAAACAAAGTCATTATTCTTAATTTTTACTTCACATTTTTTCCTTTATCTTGATACTTACAAGGAAATTTTAGCTATACCCTGATAACTGGGGTAGAGATCATTGAAACAGAAATCTGAACTACAAGGGGTAGGGGAGGCAGAGAGACAGAGAGAGAGATAGACACAGAAAGAGACAGAGAGAGGCCTAGAGACAAGCACAGAGAGAGAAACAGAGATAAGAGATACAGAGAAACACAGAGACAGAAGAGAGACAGACAGAGAAGGAAGGAGAGAGAGAATATATTTACTCCTAAAATACATCTTACATGTGTGTAAGTAGGGAAGATAAGACTAATAATAGAACTGAGCAAATTCTCAGATCAAGATGTCAGGTCTTACAGCGCAACTACTGAGAGAGGCGGTAACCTTAGACTATAGTTGAAAAATAAAGGCAAAATTATAAAGAAGAAGTTGGCCCCATGCAGGAGCTACTATGATAGCCACGTTTTAAAGCATTGTAAGAAGGAATAGTGATTTTTAAGAGGCATAAAGAGATTGATTAGGCAGAATTTTCAAAACATACACTCAAAGAAATAGACTACGGACCTTCAAGAGAGTACATCATCATACGGAGCTACGAATATCTATGTGATTTTGGCAGAAGTCTGTGGAACTTGTGAATCTTTAGGAAGTTTGGGTTTAGTTTTCAGGAGAAAAATGATGGTCCACCCATAGGTAGAAAGATAATGTCTCATTTTACAGGTAAAGTGATAGCCCATTTTAAGGAAGAAAGGTCCCTTCTTTTGTATTTTTTAAAAATATGAATGATGCCGGGTGTGGTGGCACATGTCTGCAATCCCAGCACTCGGGAGGCTGAGGTAGGAGGATCGCTGTGAGTTCAAGACCAGCCTGGGCTACATAGGGAGCTCCAGGTCAGTCTCAACTATATAGTGAGACCCTGTCTCAAAATAAATAAATAGATAGATAAATAAATAAATAAATATGAGTGAGCTAAGATATTTTTTCCCAAAAAATTCTTTAAAATCTTTGAATTTGTTTCTCTCAAAGTCAGATTTATGCCATTTACTTAATCAAGTCAGCTACT